GTCAAGCCATTTCTTGGAAACGAAAGTATAGTCAATGCTCGTGAACACTGTAGAAATCTCTTGAGTGTTTGAGACAGTGAGTGAGAGAATAGGGGAAGGGGGGATTCTCAGAGGGGAGGAGAGTGGGATTGTAAAAGGGAAAGAGGCAGGGATGGTTGGAGTGGAAGAGAGGGGAATTGTGGAAGGAGAAAAGATAGAAGGTTGGTTAGAGAGGAAGAGAGTGGAAGACACGGGAATTTTTTGAGGGGAGGAGAAATGGATGGTGGGGTGGGCAGGGAGTGGTAGGAGGGGGGCGAGAGGGGGTGGGGGAAAAAGGGGGGATCATGGGAGAGGAAAAGTGAGGGGTGGTTGGAGGGAAAAAAGAGCGGTTGAGATGGGAAGAGAGGGATGAATTGAGGGGAAAAGAGAGGGTGGAAGAGAAGGGGATGGTGGAATGTGAAAAGAAGGATGGTGGGAGGGAAAGAGAGAGGTGGGAGTTGCTGTAGGAATACACTTAATTTAGAAATAAATGAGCTTAGAGTTAGAGCTTGGAGAGTCGGGCTGAAAATACCCTACTGACTGAGTTAGCCATACGGGAAAACGACGGTTACTAGGAGAGTCGTACTGAGAAAGCCATACTGTAAACTATTCAACTGAGGATGCCACTACGCTGGCGTAACCTAAGATGTTTGGCACATGGATGGCGAATGAAGCTTTGATGCATCACGCTGTTACAGACATCCGTGGGATGGGGGCAAGGGTGGGGCCGGGGTTGGGGTGAGTGTGCAAAAACAATTTTTTGTCAAATGTTTAATTGGTAATTTTGCCTGTTTTAATTTTAACAACTTCCTTTTTTTTAATTATGAATCAGTGTTAAGAAAATTCAACTTTCATGACGTCACTACACAGTTCATTATATTAATAGACCGATTTAAGTGCTGATGTCTTGTGTCGGCTCTGGTCTAAATGTCTCTAGGATCAACTTATCATAGTGTGTAGTAAAAAAAGAGTTACGTTACACAGCTAAGTCTAGCGACTATTGTGGCGTACTTTTTGTTTACCGTGTCTTAAGTGTGGTTAGTTCTAATACGTCATGTTTATAAATCCAAATCTACAAGATTTCAATTCATGAGGGGAAAGGAAAAAAAGCAAAAAAAACATATTGAATCCAAAAAAAAAAAAAATATTTCAGTTACATTCCTTGAAATTATAAAAAAAAAGGACAACACCATATCTAGGGTTAGCCGATCGTTAAACCTTAGCTATATTATAAAAGGTTTAGCCACACGCACAAAGTCTTTGTTTTTTTTCTATGTAACCACCCCCTTCCCCCCCCCCACCCCCACCCACCAACCCAAACCTGCGATGTTTTGAGAACTTGTCCGGTTTTTCTTTTTGTGTTGTTTTTTTTTTTTTTTTTGGGGGGGGGNGGTAGGCTACATCATCAGATCATTGTGTGTGTGTGTGTGGACCGTAGTCATTTAATTTCTTTGGAATTTGTTTTTGTTTGTTTTATTTTCGAAATTTGAAATATTTTTTTGTTGTTTCAGTTTTCAAATCTTATCAGCTGGACCGTCTGACCTTTTCACAGACTCAGACATAGCCATTTCGTCATTTTAGAGCGCCCCCCCCCCCTCACACACAAACACACACATACACACCTGCTTTTTTTTTTTTTTTGTTAAGTGCCCTTTCCATTCAAAGTTTATAGTTTTTTTTTTTTTTTTCTTTTTTTTTTTTTTTTTTTTTTTTTTTTGTTATTTGCTTTTTGTTTTTATTGTTGTTTTTTTTTTTTTTTTTTTTTTTTTTTTTTTTTTTTTTTTTTTTTTTGCGTTGACTCCACAACTTTGGGCCCTTAAAGATCCCAAGGGCCCAAACATGATGGCTCTAGATACAGACGTAAAATGTTGTCTATTATGCCATACACATGTAGCATATTATGTCATCCATAGGCAGCTTATTAAGTTATCTATAATAATCAGAGGCGTAGCGAGAGTGTTTGGCGCCCGGGGACAAGATCCATTTTAAAGCGCCCCCATTTTTTTTTCTGAACTCTCAAAACCCATTATTTTCATCAATAAAATAATATCAAAGCACATTTTGGCGCCCGGGGAAATCTGCCCCCCTTCCCCCCCCCCTTCGCCACGCCTCTGTAGTGGATACACCTATCAGACTCAAAGCACGGATGTTGAGAACTCTAACAGGAAGAGTGAAGTGGATATCTTTTTAATCATTTTGCTAACTAATTTGTCATGGGGAATTCAGTTTGTTTGAACTGTTACCCCAGAACGGGACTCACCCCAACACAAACATTAGGCGTCAGTTTACTCAAACAATCGCCCTCCTTCATCAAACTTTCTGTCAACAAGAACTCTAAGACATTACTATATGTTCAACATACATTTTATGGCACAATATCTCAAATATTTACATGGTTAAATTACATACAAGAAATTATTTTTTTTAAAGAAAACTAACAAAATACCCAGTTTCTATAAGGTTCTGGTCAAATTCACATTGCAGCGTTGACCACAACAGAATTCCTTGATTCAATCCAGAGTCTCATTGCTGACCACTCTGGTCAGTTTGAGTGCATTCCAGTGCATGTATACACTATTTAGTGGTTATGTTGTCGCCGTTGTTCGTGTTGTGGTCTTCAAATGATTCGAGTCGGGTTTAAAATATGTTCATGTACCAACAAAAATGTCTTCTTTTTATTTAACATTACTATTCAAGCCACAAGACTAGCAGCCAACTCAATTCTTGTATTGCACTCCAACGATGTGACTGCACTCCAACGAAGTGACTGCACTCCAACGATGTGACTGCACTCCAACGATGTGACTGCCCTCCAACGATGTGACTGCACTTCAACGATGTGACTGCACTCCAACGACGTGACTGCACTCCAACGATGTGACTGCAGATCCAATTTTCCTGACAACTTCCTTCAAGTTGTTAACAGCGGCCACCCATCCGTCCATTTGACAGCGGCCACCCATCCGTCCATTTGACAGCGGCCACCCATCCGTCCATTTGACAGCGGCCACCCATCCGTCCATTTGACAGCGGCCACCCATCCATCCATTTGACAGCGGCCACCCATCCATCCATTTGACAGCGGCCACCCATCCGTCCATTTGACAGCGGCAACCTATCCGTCCGTTTGACAGCGGCCAGCCGCTAGTTCATCCGGGTTTTTTTGTTTTTTTTGTCATGGGGGGTGTGGGGTAGGGGGGGGGGTCACAAGACGGCGAGGCAGACGAGAGGGCGACTGGCGGGGAAAAGGGAGCGCACACACGACTGTAAATTCTGGGGTAGTTCTGCGACCACGTAATGGTGCAACATGGAGAAAGGGTTGTTGGTAAACAAGCAGGTATTTTATTTCTTTTAAAGAGTAACCACCTAGGGGTGCATGGTAGCAGCATTTTGTTAAAAGAAATGGACTTGCAGGTCGAGGACTCTCAAACTATAAAAGAATTTAAATGGTAGGCTACATCATCAGATCATTGTGTGTGTGTGTGTGGACCGTAGTCATTTAATTTCTTTGGAATTTGTTTTTGTTTGTTTTATTTTCGAAATTTGAAATATTTTTTTGTTGTTTCAGTTTTCAAATCTTATCAGCTGGACCGTCTGACCTTTTCACAGACTCAGACATAGCCATTTCGTCATTTTAGAGCGCCCCCCCCCCCTCACCC